AATGATTGGCAATTTAATTTATTTCTTCCAATCAAATTCAATCCTTCTAGCTTAATGTAAAAGAAGAAGCAAATTTCACATGATTTAAATAAATCGAATAAATGTATTTTTTTTTATTATATATCAATATTTATAACAGTTAGGGACATTTTATTAGTCGTACTAATATTATAAGTGCAAATGTCTAGATGGATGGATGTTTGAAGGTAACTCCGGAACGGCTAAACGGATCTGGCTGAAAATTGGCATAGATGTAGAACAGTCTGGAGCACATAGGCTACTTATTGAGTTTTTCATTTCCGCATGAATGAAGTCGCGTGTGACAGCTAGTATTAGATAAAACGGAAATGGATGCAAATCACTTTTTGCTTTGTTTTAATTAAAATAATACTAAATTAAACTTTGACTTCATTTTTAAAATCATTACGTAGGCAATGTTATGATAAGACAGGTTCGTTTAACCAAATTTATTCTATTAGTCATTTCCTTGATAATATTTTGGCAATTCGTCAGCCGAGCCTAAACTCCAGGAATAAAATATTATACTACTACATTATTCAAATAATTTTACCAGAACCAGCTTTCATGAATTATTTTGATGTTTTATTTACATTTCGCTCAAATTCTCTGAACCAATTGGTACGATTTTATTATTTTGACGTATTTAAGTGGCGTAGATACAAAGAAAATGAGTTTCAACGTTAACATTGTTAATGTCGAAAATTACTATATTTATTTTATTTTATGTGTTTTCTCGCGGTCATTCAACCTTAAAAGTGCAAAGGCTAAAGTATAAAGTAATATTCAAATTTTACACACGTTCATTCGATCGCGTATGTAGAGTTGACACAAACTTTGAACTAAAATTGCATACCTTTTTAAACAAAGAAATTGATGTCTTGCAACTAAACGTATTTTGATGATTTACATACTGCCCCTCGGGGACATTTAGTGAGCCGATGATGATGATGATGAACTTTATGTATTACCAGAATGACAGTTTATTAACCCACGTAATTTAAAAAAAAAACTATTTATTCTTACTATTTTTTATATCTTCAAATACCTATTAAAATATCTCATAACTACAAAATAGTTCACATGGAAATAAAAAATACGTCGCGACACAATCTCTTACAAATATGCACTCTGCTCCTTAGCTTAGTCGCGTCTGCTAACAATACGACTGGAAACAATAAAACAGCGCGATAACGTCTCCGGAGACGTTTTGCTTCACCGTGAGTTTCTACTGCAAATATAAACATACAAAAACATAGTGTCATCACACTCACTCCGTCCAAATAAACAGAAATAGAATAATAAAAATGCTTCTTAATGCATGTAGTAGAATCCTACGCTTAGAACATTTTATGCGAAGTGTAGAATTTATTTCTATTTTCCATTATATATCAAACCTCTTTTAAATCTCTTTTTAACGACAACATTTTGAAAATAATTAATGTTTTAACTTTTGTTAAAAATATGCAATAACTATAAGTATAAGTATGAGTTATTGTGTTAATTTATAACTTCAAAGAAATACAGATATTACTAATAAATACAGATTTCTTTGAAGTTCTAAAGAAAATAAATGTTACATTATGCTTAAAAAGCAAGAAGCTATGTCAAATGTCATATATTTCACGAAGGCTAACAAGGTCCCCTAGGATACAGCTTCAAGTTAGGTTGCCTATGTCACATTTATATCGTAATAATAATACGACGTAAGAAATTACTTATTTTATTCAAGGGTTTAAAAAGCAACGTTTAGCGTGAGCTATGCTGCAATAGACAAGATTTTTATAAATGTAGAACTTACAACAATTAGATATGACACAAATTATGAAAGTCTTACGTTTAAGAGATGTCAGATTATAAAACTTTTCACCGAAGTTTCCCTCATTCCTTGGAAAACAAAGGAGGTAATGATTCGTCTTTTTTGCTGTTTAACAATTCTTTTGCTTGCTTTCCTAAGGAAAACATCGTTTCCGGGAATAATGCGCGTTGAATACTCACTGTTTTTTATCTCTATAGACGATTCAGGTCTTTTTCTATTATTTAAGCTCGTTTTGTTGAGATTATTAACAAGACCAACGAACTGTAGTTGGGACCAAGTTAGAGGAAAATACGAAATTTAATGATGAATTAAATAAAATGCTTAAAATTTTTTGAGAAAATATTAATGTTTTAACATTATCGAGTATTCTGCAAAGTTCAGGAGAATTCAGAGTAATGAAAATTGTAAAAAAGTAAACTGACTGATAAAACAATAGCAACGTTTCTTTAACGTAAAATTGCCTTATAAAAGTAAAAGGCGCTCTAAAATTGAAATCTAAATTGTATAGCTTATAATATATTATACAAATTGATTTTAAATGTGTTTACTTACATATCATGTTTTTAAATGATTTTATCATTACTTTGTTTTTATATCATATTTTATGAGTCAAATTAATAGTACTATGGTTATTTTACTTCATAATATTATAATATTTTTCCTATATTATTATTATATTATTATTTCTTATATAAAAATTACTTTCAAAATTTATTGGATCATTATCGAAAGTAATATATAAAAAAAACATATTTCGTACACATAATGTATTTGCGTAGCTGTAAGGCCGCGTTAGTTTCGGGAAATCTCCGGAACGGCTGGACCGATTTTGACGGGACGTAGCAGAAACATAACTGTTACGCACGGGCATATTGTAGACTACTGTTTTTTTTAGCTCTGCGCTATAACTATATCAATGTAATCACCAATATCGAAATTAAATTGAGCATATTAAAGTTATGAAACAAAAAGATATTCCACAGTTAAATTCCGAGGCAAAAATGTATAATCCTAATCCATTAGGAATTAAAGAAAATAAGAATATATCGTAAAATATTTTCAGTAAGTCGAAACTTTTATTACAAACAATTGTTAAAAGTTACTAAACTAAAGAACCCAATCATGAAAGTGGTCTACGCTGGCTGGTTTTTGTTTTTAGCTTTCATATAGCTAATCGTTAGCCACATACGAATCCAGTGCGCACGATTTCATTCATTTCTTCGCATGAATGCATTCAATGCAACCACGGGCGAGCTCGAAACGTTAGTTTTTTTCTTTTATTCAAACTTATAGAAATAAATTTTACCTACTCTTATTTAACAGTGGTGCACCATGAACGTATGACCATAGACAAAGATTTTTATTTTACTCATAATATAGCTACACAATATATTTTTTTACACCGATAAAGACTAACAAAGTAGATTTTCTGGACTTCTAGATGTTCTTTGTATACGATTGGAGTAGGATAACTTACTACTTTAAACGTCCATCTTCCTTCATTCTAACATTATAAATACGAATATTTGGATGGATGGACGTATGTTTGTTAGAAGTTATCTCCGCAACAGCTCAATGGATCTCGATGAAATTTGGCGTGGACGTAGAACATAGTTTGGAAGAAAATATAACCTACTAATTAAGTTTCTTTTAATCCTTCCCGGACGGAGTCCCTTGCGAGAGCTAGTAATGTAATAAAAGTAGCCTATTCGATCCTTTCCTTTAACATATTCTATTGTAAAAAGGACACACAGAACGAACGTTTACGTCTTTATCTTTTTATTGTACTTGAAAATGCCAAGTTAACTTTATGTTGGCATGTTAGGGTGTAGTAATTAAACCTGAGGAAGGAGCGTTATAATATACTTCAAAGTTTTGAGATGATCTCGGAGAACATGTAGTCTTGCGTATGCGTAGACAAGACTGCTAGATTGAACTTTGTAATTTACCTTCTGTCGCTGTCAAGTTTGGTCCGCATCAAAACTTGAAATGATAAGGGTAAGGAATGTTTTACTTCAAATAAGTTTCACGTCAAGACACGAAATGTTATACTTTTCTAAAAAGAAAAGCTTAACTCGATTGTACGCAAATATGAAATACTAGCTGTCGCCCGTGACTCCTCCTGCTTGGGTGTAATAAAAAACTATATTAATAGCCTATGAGTTCTTCCAGACTATGTTCTACATCTATGCTAAATCCATACAGCCGTTCAGTACATAATATTAGTAGGATATACTATTGTATTTTGATTTGAATTTTATCATAAAAATGTTTATAGTTACAGAATTAAATCAAACTTACGTCAGTTCATTTCCTGAATTCTTATTAAATTTTATATATATTTTTATAATATTTTGACATGAATAAGTAATAAATTATTTACGTCTTTACAAGTATTTGTTATATTTATCGTGAGACCAGTCACGATAAAATGACGTTGTTTTGACGAATGTTTTGTCGAAGAAAACAGGTAAGCGACCTAGCGGTTCCCTTGACGTGTGACCATGGACTACCACAAGAATAAATTATAAATCGTAAGTCCTTTTCTAAAGAAGAGGGTAAAGAAAAGCATCTCGCTACTGTTAGGATGAAAATCCGATACTGTGCCGGTGTATCGACGCATCACTAGCCTTATTAAAATATTAACGTTTATATCCCCTCACTAATCACTCTGACACTTGACTTGGTAATGAAAGCGCTCTTGGCACCAAAAGATTCTAACTAACAATATCCAAAACTCATTTGAAGATTAGATATTACAGATTTTAGGGAATCCATTTCTACAGTTGACTAGTGATGGGTACGGCTACTGAATCGTATCCAAACCAACCACGAGCATGGAATAACTATTCCAGTGGGTTCCTTAAATCCTTTGGGATTGTACCCACTTAGATGTCATGATCATAAGAAATTATAGGGTTTTGAAGAAATAATACAATTTACCACATTCATGTTACCTTTTATTCAGTTCCATTAATGTATTATTTTGGTCTTATTTCTAACATTTTACTTAATATCACAGGTTGATCAATAAATTGTCTATTCTAAAAGTGATATCGATTATAATACTTATTAAATACAAAAAACTTTCAGATGTTTAAATGTCAATTATTAAAAGAACACGATTATAATAATTAAATAATGTGCAAATATTAATTATTAATTATTAATTAATCAATAACATTTGTGAACGTCATAAATACACACTCATAATGTAAATAAATAAACATTTATATACATACGTAAATATTGTCCTTCATAAAACTATTGACAAAATTCATTTATTTTCTAACTAGAATTGTCCAAGACAGTTGTCGATTCAGTCTGTTCACTGCTACCTGCAAACAAACAGTTAAATTATAACATTATTTTAACTTTAAAAGACTCAAAGACATACAAAAGTTATCTGTTGTTTTAACAGTGGAGCCCGCAATAACATCTTTTGAACCTGTCATCTCCTCTTATCTCGAACCCGTCTCGAACGGTGAAATACCACGACAAGACAGGCGTGAAATGGACGTAATTCCACATTTTGTCTAATAAGTTTGCATGCCGCAGAGCTAATTGCAGTTTCTTTCCTTTCCCACCCTTTCTTATAAAGAAGAGATCGGAAGGGATATAGATTTGGCAGAGGACGGAGAACTCTACACGTCCCCACCGCTGTTGATTAAAGGTATAGGTAACGCATCTGCAAATGCAGATATCGAATATTTGCTTTGTAGCTTACTCACTTTATATTTAGCCGTTTATTTTATAGCATGTCCGCATTTATTTGAAACACTCACCTGGGATAGATAGCGTGTAAATCAGGCTGTACAGGAACGTGTGTGGGGTGCATCGTGTGTGGTGACATTGCGGCCGCGTTGATCGCCCGGATGCGGGCGCGAAGCCTCTCGTAGTGTTCCGGCTGGTACTGCGCAGCTATCGTTACTGCGCTGCCAGAGTACTGCTTCAATATAAACACATACACATATTAATGCAGATAATCTAATAACTTTGTCCGTGTGATATGATAATCGATAAACTAATCCAATTTTGAAAATTTAAAGATAAAGTTTTCAACTAATTTTTAAATATATAGTTGGACATGTACTAATTACATATGCGTGCTCTGTCAATGTTTGACGTCTTTCTTAATAATTAAAAACAGGGAAATACCAAAGACGGTAAAAATAGTTCATGATTTTAATGTTCTGTAAGGGAATCTTAATATAATCACCAAAGAGATAAAAAATAATAGGCTTGATAAAAATCCATGTACTTTTAGACATTATTAGTTAGGATCCTTTGGCGCCAATGGCGCGCTTTCGTTACAAAGTCAGGTGTCAGAATGATTAGTGCAGGGACATAAACGTCGATATTTCGGTAAGGTTAGTGTTGCGCCAGTACACCGGCACAGTGTCGGATTTTCCACCTACATAGTACCAAACATGTTTGTATTCATCAGTAACGTCGTAAGTCTAATATGAATAAATAATTAAAAAAACATATGAAAGGGAGATTAAACAGTTATAGACGATAACAAATTATGACAGTTATTCCCATACCAAGTATATTTTAAGTTAGAAAATAAGGAAAAACATTGCATCAATACTCTGGTGTAAGAAATTCGATAGGGTTGTTATAAGGTTATTACTTTTGCTCTCGGATATAGGATAAGGTGTATTTCATTTCAATAAGACATCAGAGACTCGAGTTATGAAGCATATAAATGCTCTTCAAAGGAAACCGCCTTCCGTATATTTTAGTGCGCAATAAAGTAGGAAAATCCGACGCGGCTTTCTTTTACTGACTTTAAATTATATAACATTTTTATATATACGTATAGACTGCAATATAAATCTATTGGAGAAAACATTCTCAATTACTGGTTATTAATCATAACGAGGACAGAAAAAAATATTTAAAACATATACGGTAACACTTTTAATATTTACAAGATATTAATAACATTTTAATATATTTTTAACACGAATAGCAAATAAATTAAAACAAAAAAGAAATTAACACTAAAAAAGATAAAATGCAAAGTATTTAAGTGATAAGGTAAAGATTAAACTGAGAACTGTCAAATAAGCTATTACTAATCTTTGAAAAACTAAACCACAATCTTACTAATATTATAAATGCGAATGTTTAGATGGATGAATTTTTGTTTGAAGGTATCTCCAAAACGGCTTAACGGATTTCGCTGAAACTTTGCATAGACGTAGAACATAGCGCAGAGCCCAGGACAGAGCGAACTGGCGGCGCACTGTGGACGCCCTCTGCCCCACTGCGGGGACATAGGACTATAAGTCAAGTAAGTCAAGAACATAGTGTGGAAGAACACATATGCTAATAATTAATTTCTTTTAATTCCGCGCAGACGGAGTAGCAGGCGACAGCTATTTTATTAACATAGTTACCTTCAGCGCTGCTGCAGCTTGTTCATGCGTCGCTCTTGATAAATCTCGTCCATCGACGCTTAATATTCTATCTCCCCTGTACAACATGCCGTACGCAGCTCCCTCCACTGACACTCCTGACACAAACACACCGCACGCCTCGTCCTCCAGGCCACTGGAAGTGTCTTCACCACCCAGACCTCCGACGATATCCATGCCTAAACGTGATCCGGAACGCACGAGTCTGACCATGCGCACGCATCTAAATCAAAAGAATTATAACAGTGAGAGTCTGCCGAAACACTCGCCACGTATTGTCTACATTCTTACTTCTTCTTCATTCTCAGTAAGGAAATTTAGACAACAATATGTTTTGTACAATATGGCAGTAGAAGGAACATGATAAGAAAGAGGGAATCAAATAATCTTTCCCATTTTTAAGCAAAAAAACTTAAAATGCAATTTTCAGTTTATTTTTTGCCAAATTAGGGATCGTAAAAATACAAACCACAACAGATTATTACGCAATAATACAAATATAATAAGGCTTATAAAGAGTTTAATTATTTTATTTCATGGTTCGTTTTGATTTTCAATTAAAAGTGATGGTTACAAGGCATTATAATTTATGACTATCATTTACTTAATTATACCTACAAATAATTTGTTATTTAAAAAAGTTTGTTCTGTTATGATTCATTTGTTTTTATTGTTGGTTATTAAATTGACTATAAAGCACGTAACGTAGTTATAAACAGGATTAAAAAAACAAGCTAATACGTAATGTAATTATTTGTTATAGGCATTGATTAATGCTTAATTCATAATGCCACTTACCTTGGAATTTTACTTGGATCTTCTTCTGTAAGCTCGTGAAGTGTCGAACACGATGTTGCTTGTGTTCTTGCTATTAACAAAATTGTATTTTATTTACGACTATGTTTGTTCCCTTGGGTTTTTACTTTAACTTTTGCATTGATAATTACATCCGCATAACATTATGTCACATATCCTTTAGTCTTTTCTTAAGAGTCAGATTTCTATTTGGTTGAGAAGTCTTACTTAAATTATAATTAATTTTAAAACAAGTGTTTTGTCTTTGGTGGTTTTAATTCTTAAGATTGAGAACCTAAATGTTTCTTACTTGTATAAAGTTGCGTGGGCTGAGCCGAAGGCGGGATAGACGCAGCAGGTAGAACGATTAGAGTAACATGCTCTCCAGTGTTGCGCAATGTTGCGACTGCCTTTGCGTGTGTTGCACCGATTAATGATGTTTCTATTCCCTAAAAAGATATAGCTAAATAGTGATAATGGAATCTATCCTTGACAACACAAACTACTAATTAGTTTTAAGACATTATATAAATTTTTAAAGCATCTCAATTTTATTACCTCCTAAATTATTTACGAATAATCAATACCAACGCGTCAAGATAATTTTACGATAGTAAATTTTAATGGGACAATCGTTAAGTTGTAAAAACCTTCACACATTTTAACTACTGCCTCTCACCCAACTAGTTAATTAAACAGTAAGGTTTGCAATCGATAAGTAATTTACAACCCATTATTCCTTTGTTACATGTTAATGATAACATAGTTTATTAAAATTATATTCAGCCAATAATATCGAAACGGGTGACGACACTTACATCTTCGTCTCTAACAGCAAGTATTTTATCACCAAGTCTTAGTCTGCCATCGTAATGTGCTGCTCCGCCGACTGCGATGTGTGAAATGAAGACTCCACCTCCTCCCGCTGCATCATCAGCACCTCCTGCTATTCCTAAGCCCAGTCCACGTGCCCCTCGCCATAATGTGACGACTTTAGGACGTCTGGCTCTTCTGACTCTCTATGTATTATAAACGGTTCACTTAATTGTTATAAATATTAAAGTTAGTGTATTGTTTTTATGCTTTGGTAGTATACTTACTAATTTAACAACGTTTCCAGCTTTCTGTAAAGCATCAACTGCCATTGAATGAGGAGCACCTTCTAAGGATACTTCGTTTACCTAAAAAGTAATTCTGAATCAGTATGTTAATACTATATTTTAAACTAGGAGGGCATAATATTATCAATTACCTTAATATCTGTGCAAAATTATATCCAGTAGTAGTAATAACAGTATTTAGAACGCATACTAAAATAACTGCGATAATTGGGATTGATAAAAGACTATTTTTGGAACTGCTAAGTCCTCATTAAAATTTTCTCATATATGAAAACAAATTACATAATTATACGTTAGATGTAATAAAAATACAAGACATAACTCAACCTTTCCCAGATTAAAAGCATATAGTGCTCGAAAATTACACCGTAGGGGACGTCTGCAATTTTACACTCGCGTAATATTTCATTAAGCTAATTTCGAAAGTTTTATTTATCTAGTTAAACAGAAAAGTTTTATACTGTCTTAGTTGAATATACAATCAAGGTAGAACTTGCTATCCTCAGGTCGACGATAAACGAAATGTTTAAAAAGAGTTTCATTCTGGTTAATTTTAATAATGGAGTAAAAGTTAAAATAACAGAAAACTAATTAAGAGCTGATGTATCAAGACTTAAGGTGTTGCCTTTAATTTTGCTTGTAATTCGTACTAAAGTCTTCAAATTGAAGCTTTAACACCTTGGACAATATTGATGAACTTAGTAGATCAAAAACAAAAACAGATAACAGTTATGAAATATCTAGGGGACGTTAAAATTGTATGTGGTGTTAAATATTGCTTCTAAATTTTGAAGCATATGGCTGCTAATTAATAAATAAGTGGATTTTAAAATTGTTACATCCTACCTGCAGTAAAATATCTCCAATTTGCAGTCTGCCGTCACTTCTGGCTGCACCTCCGACAGCCAATCGAGTTATGCTAATATCACCACCGCTCTCGCCACCCGCTATGCTCAGTCCTAGACCGTTTGTGCCGCGCTCCAATGTAACATCAGCTGTCTCCCATACCGAATCATCTGAATCGGAACAAGACTGAAAGGAAGAATTCAATACGCTTATAGTTTTTATGAAATGCCTTACATGAAATTTAATGTGAATACAATTATTTTTGTGAAAGATTGGACTAATGAAACCTTTTATTTCTTAGCAACGATTTAGTTGAATTTTATATATTTGTTAATAATTAGCATTTGCGTAAGTTTATAGGGATTTTGCATATTTTCTTGATCCTAAAACTTAGATGTCAAGAATTGATCCCTGATTTTAATAATTATTGAAGCTGTTTGTACTCTTATTAATAAGAATTGACCTTTTGAATCAAGACCTTAATTATTACTCTAGTTTTAATAACTTTATAAATTTGCATTTTATATTTTACTCTGTGTTAATAAAAAGTGCATTGACATCTGCATATGAACCTGTAAGCTTCCTGCAATACACTGCTCGACTTCCGGATTTTGCGTCGCCTGCTCACGACCGCAATCATAGTTCGCGACGTTCGCTGCGAACAAAATAAAAGTACTAAACATGAAACGATTTTATAATTTCCTCTTTTTAGTAGTGGCCAGTGAGTGATCGACATAGATAAAATAACGCAGTGACCGTTGTTTAGAGACATATACAATGGATTAATATATAATATTTAAAAGGTTTAAAAGGACAACCGTAACGTTTATTTCATCGTAAATTGCTCTTCAATTTCCAAATAAAATAATCACTCGTGATATTCAATTTGAGTCGCTAAAGTAGATAGCATCTACATATTTAAATGCGGTCATTGAAAAAACTGCATCGAATTTTTAAGTCACTCTTCTATCATCACCTACCTACCCTAAGTTAAGGGTGATTAGGCCATAGTCAACCTCACTGGCCAAGTGCTCTTCTATGTTTCATCTTATTTTGTAATTATTGGTTACTATTTATGTCATTAAGACGTCGGTGGCACAGTGGTCAAGCACTTGACTTGCAATCTGCAGGTCCTGGGTTCGAATCCCGCCATGTACCAATGTGTTTTTCGATTTCCGATTTACATATGTACATTTATCCGACGTTCTTACGGTGAAGGAAAACATCGTGATGCAACCTGCACATGTCTGAGAAGAAATTCAAAGATATGTGTGAAGTCAACCAACCCGCACTTGGCCCGCGTGGTTCCCTATGGCCTAATCACCCTTAACTTAGGGTAGGCTTCGAGCCCCTCGGTGGGGACGTATAGTGAGCTGATAATGATGATGATGATGATTTATGTCATTGAGAAATGTTAGTTTGTCAAACCCATGCAAGACTATCAAAGATCAACTTTCTCGTATCAAAGCTAGTGTATAAACTTTACCAGTTCCATTTGTGTTTCTGATTACTAAAGGCTTCGCTAAACCGGATCAAACCTTAACGTCACTGGAGAAGCTGTAACTCTATCAAATCTCGTCAAAGTAAACAATAGCTTTGAAATGAACATACGTATGACGAACGTGCAACATTCGTATAAAGAAATATATGGATATTTGTGTTCAAAGTATGATTGTCCACTAAAAAGAAGCTTGGTCGCTATCAAAATATTGTTTCTAAAATAGTACACGAAATTACTAGTTTTGCAAAATAAACTACATTTTCAACGACAATAACGAGCTATTAATTTATGCTTACAAAATTATCTATTGAACTGGAGACGTATTTAATACAATATCTAGGTTATGAAAAAAGTCCTGAAGTGTGGTCGTCTCTTCCATATATTACTAATATTATAAATGCGAATGTTTAGATGGATGGATGGATTTCATTCCGATTTGGCATAGACGTAGAACATAGCCTGGACGAACACATAGGCTACTAATTAAGATTTTTTTCTCTCACGCGTAGACGGAGTCGAGGGTGACAACTAGTGTATTATATGGCAGAAGAATAAATTTGCCTTCTTTCAACATCAATAAAAACTAAAGGTTTCTCTAAAATAAAAGCTCGTTTATCAAATAGAATGACTAAATAAATTTCTGATATGCGATGTCAAGTCTATATTCCTCATAATGTTATTTGATTTAAAATAAAAACGTATAAATGGAGCGAGGAAAGAATATCAAATAGTGAATATAAGCGACGGAGACCAGAATTGTCAACGTTGTGACATATTAGAATCATGAATTCAACTTTCATCTGCCCGATGGCTTTATAAGAAAACTAGAACAAGCTATTTTCATTGCCTGTTATGTTATTCTTGGAAATATAAATATACATAACTACAAATTATTTCATAAGTCATGACTATCATTAATAATGAAGCGAAATTATAGATATTTTTACAATATATCAACTTAAGACTTTAGGTAACTATAGGCTACAGAAACGTATTGAAAAATAGAACATCTCTCAACATTACTTTTCTCCAAATTAAGTGTTTAAAATTGTTAAAAGTACTCACAACCTTCGCAGATCTGCAGTTCGATTTTATCAAGATCTTCATCATCTTCAAAGTCAGTCTGCACTGTTGCATCACGCGTGTAATTCTGTAGCGCGATGACGTCAAAAGGGGGACCTTCTGCGGGAGCGTAGCTGATAGAATTAGTGCTGCATTGTGGTTCTCTTGTCTCCTGTGTTTCTGTATGTCTCGATTCATGGGTGTCATGGCGAGCGCGTTTGCACGCCGCACACCCGCAGAGGGAGCCGCGCACTCGCAGTAGCCACACTAGCCCGAACAGCGCCATCCATGTGGTCATGCTGTGTCCACACCGCCCACCATCACACGATATTTTTCATTCACAGTCACTCACATATTTTTATACTATTACCAATCGAAATTTAAACAGTAATTTACACAAAATGAGATCCAGTCATTTCACATAATTGTAACCTTTTTGTATGTTCTGTAATACATTGGGATAGAACTTAAAATTAATATTTTTATTGGAATAAAGGTGGTTTTAGGTCTAACAATCGGTTTGTCCGATTTCTAGTTTCTGATCAGACACGACCGCAATAGTAAAGCAAATCAATTGAAGTTGGTTACTTTTATTTTATTTGTGTGGTGAACGCTCGATTGTTTTTTAGCTTAGAAAAAAATCAACATTTAACCGTACATAAAGTTATTTTATTTAACAACGAGTTATAAAACGATGAAAGGATCGGGAACAGTTTCTAGATCGAATACTAAAGACCGTCTGTGAATTGCCGTTAACATTTACGATATCCACCGTATGTTATTACTTATATGTTAGACTCGGGTAGCCAGTTATAGTCACATAACATACGTGGGTAAAGGCACGATGAAATGATAAATGATGGTAATAAATTGCAGCATTCGAGATACGAGTATAAATGGTACTTACTGAGAGAGAATCATGAAAGTATCAATTCGTTATTAATGATACCTAAATTCAAATATGTTATATTAACTATCGCCCGCGACTCCGTCCGTGCGTAATTAAAAAAAAATTAGTAGCCTATGTGATCTTCCAGACTGTGTTCTATATTTATGCCGATTTCAGCGAGATCCATGTAGCTGTTCTGGAGATATCTTCAAACAAACATCCATCCATCCATTCAGCCATCCAACTAAACATTCGCATTTATATTATTAGTAATTTTAGACAGTATTAGTTTGTTTAAGTTTAGTTTTTTTTGTGTCAGATTGATTAGTGAGGGGACAAGCGTTGTGATTATAATAAGGCTAGTGTTGCGAAGATATCCCGACACAGTGTCGGATTTTCTTAACAATAAAAAGTAAGATTAGTAAGATTTTGTTAATAAAATTATAGCAGTGCTGAACTAATACAAAGAAAACTATGATATTATTTAGAAAACAGTTCGTTGTAAAGCTCTTTATGTATCGTTCAATCTTTATGACTCTGTCTACGCTGGGAAAGCAGTTATGTAAAATATCGTCAACAACACAAAAGGTAGGCATGAATTTTAGAAATAATTGAACATAAAGTTTTTCATTTTATTATGTCGTCGGTATAGTATCATCCACACAACATCTAAAAGGTTCGAATTTAAATATTTAGAAGTTAAAAATTATATATTTTTTTTGAATTATTACAGAGATAGATTAATTTTACGATTTTCTATATTAACTGCGATGGAATCAATGTCATTAATTGTAATAAAATTAAAAGCCCATAAACAATAAGAGGATCAATCGAGAATTCGTATCACGTATAATACTTCATAAGAACATTTTCTACTAGAGAGATAAATACAATAATTTATCAGTGCCCAATTTTCACCAAAAATTAATTAATATCAAAATGGTTGACGTTGCTTATCGCAACCACGACGTTCTATTTCCAAATCATTGTGTATTTTTATTTAATACATTATTTCTTCTTATAGTTTTGTTCTTTTAAGGCTTGTATGACAATTTATTTTATTAAAAACATGTCTGTAAAGTCAATTCGCAAACGTTTTAACGTGATAGCGCTCAGATCGTGCCTCTCTCTCGCATGTTCCCGGCTCTCGCTTGCACGCTCAGCAAAGGCGGAATGTGACAATGAGTCATGCTTTTTCGTGCGTGCAGCCAGCGTACAAAGAATCCCAATTTGATAACGAAGTAAATTGTATTAAATTCAATATTAAATCAATTGGAACTATACCAAATAATATGATTATAACTATTAAGTTCACAATAAAAATATAAGAATCAATAACAAAGCGTCAATAGCCTAATGGTTAAGGGTACGGATTTCCGATCACGAGGTCGGGGGTTCGAATTCCCCCATTCGACTATTGTCGTAAACCATATACTAGAACAAGCCTAGAGCTTAGTTGGAATGGTAAAAGAAATATTAGTAAATTTACAAAAAAATCTGCTAATATTTTTATTAAAAAAAAAGGACTTAAAACTACTTTATTCTTATTATGGCCTAGGTTTAAAAAAGGTTTCTATAGACATAACAATGTAAGTCAGAAAAGTAGTTTTTGAGTTTATTCGAATAAAATAATAGTCATTTCTCGAATATTTTTATACTCATAGACAATAAACAAGTTATAAACAAAGACCACTCACAGCAATGTTATCAGATATCAACGGTTTTCATTTCACGGTCCCGTCAATCGCCTCCCCATATTTCCTCATGAATACATATATTAACGCTTCCCTGCTTGTTCTTTACCTACAATTTATCCGTACTCTTGTATAATCTCAATCTGTTCAATACATAATCTATATCTATATATATAAAAATCAATTGCTGTTAGTTGTCGTTTGAAATGTTCGTGGAGGTGAAGAAAGGTTTAAAATGTGAAAAAAAATCAAACAATAGTCAGGAACGAATTAAGTTTTTTTATATTCCACACGGACTGAGTCGCGGGCGACAGCTAGTTCTGGAAATTTACTTTTTCAAGACAATATTTGTATTAATATTTCTACAATTTATTTTAAAAACATTTTTACTTTCTGATTTACGAAAAATCAATGTAGATGATAGACAGAGATAGATAGATAGAGATAGACGATTATGTCCAATATTTGTTTTTTTTGTCTAATATAGTTTTCATTTATTTTTATAGATTAAAAGCAATTGATTAACCAGATACTCAATATCGTTTAAAGTTTTACTATCTCTAGAGAAACGCTGCGCTGATACTTTTACAAAGGGTTTAGGATAATCGCTTTTGGAGCCAGGCCATCATGAGTACGAAAGCAATACTTATCGAACTTAACTTTATTTAAAGCAAAATGAAAATGTAATACTAACAAATTTTGTAATATTGATCTTAAAAAATTTCACGGTAGACTTTTACAATAAGGCGGATTTGAAGTGAAATATTATACAATTTGATACACTAGCTGTAGCCCGAAACTCCGTCAGCATGGAATAAAAAAAAGAAACATAATTAAGTAGCCTATATGTTACCAGACTAGTTCTATATGTATTACATATTTCATACGTTTAGACGTTTTGGAGATACCTTTAAACTAACATCCATCCATTCATCTAAACGTTCGCATTTATAATATTAGTAAGATGTTAAATATATCAATGTTATAGAAAGTTTGTAGTGAAGTTATGCTACATATTAAAGAAGAAATTATAAATAGGAAACGACAGGTAATCAGTATTAAAACAATATGCATAAGCTTTATGGAGATTCAAGATACAGGATGTTCAAAAGTTCATCTTATAAGATAGTCAAAAGTTTAACGTATTGTTTTTCTTAGGTATAATAGTGAGCCAAGCTCCACGGGGAAAACAAGTGGCGGCATAAATAATATTCGTAATTTATTACTGTTGTTTGGTTGTGTATTCATCGGGCCATGTTTCCTGCTCTATATATATACATAGAGCTTCATTATTGAACAAGATCTTATTAATCTTACTAATATATATAAATGAGAATATATACGGATGGATGTTTAAAGGTATCTCAGGAACTGTATGGATGTCTATGAAATTTGGCATAGATGTAGAACATAGTCTGGAAGAATACGGAAGCTACTAATTATTATTTTTTTGAACTCTACACGGACGGATTCGACAGCTAGTCTATTATAAATTTTCCATCAAGGAATCTTCAAAAAAATAAGACTACATTTTGCTTTATAAGAAATGAAATCGACTAAATCATACTCGACCTCTTTTTTATTCTTTCTTACTTAATTTCCATATTGAAAGGAAATGATATGGAACCTAATCCATATTGTATCAGAATTTTCGGTAAAATTATATGAAATTAAAAAGATAATTTCCTTTCCACTCTATTCACATTTTATTGTTTAATTTAGTTCACCAAGTTATATTAGCAATTTTCATATTGTTACTTATTATTTTTAAACTCTGTATTTTAAACGTTTTCACTGTTTAGATGTCCGAAACCCCAACTCATGAATTTAGATTACGCTTAATTTACTCCACAACAAAGGGACACGAATTTAAAAGTATTGTTAATGACTTCTACAAAAAAAAATCTTTAAAAACAATTGATTGTCATTTACAAAAAAACAAGTGTCGGTTGTTTAAATGCATTATATAACTCGCAACTTATAGTACAAACCATATTTGGAATGTCTATGTCATACTAATATTATAAATGCGAATGTTTAGATGGATGGATGTTTGATTGATGGTATCTCTGCGACTCAGAACGACTGCGTAAATATCATTGAAATTTGTCATGGATGTAGAACATACCCTGGAAATACATATGCTACAAATGAAGTTTTATTTTTAATTACGCGCGGACGGAGTCGCAGGCAACAGTTAGTCGAATAATAAAATCGTATGTCCTTTCCACAATATATGGCTATATTGGAATTTACATGCCCAATAATTTCATGTTACATTAGCGTTTATTTTAATCCGATACGTATATGATTTTGTTTCTATATTTTCACTAAACATGACAAAAACAACTAAAACAGTTGAATTTTGAAACAAATTAATCAACTATTAAATATTAGTAGGCCAGTAATAGGCAACTAGAGGCCACGTGAACCTCGCTAGTAAAAGACCTACGAGTAAGGTTAGTACATTTTGTGTTCAATTAAAAAGGTCAAGTACTCTATTATGTGATATAGGGTCATTATATGTATTTTATATACATAATCTTCAGATAACATACATAATTGAAATGCGTAATAAGAATGACGTAATTTGTGATTTGAGCAAGTTAGATTGTATTTGTATGTTTATATATATGAAACATATTATATTATGTTCTGTTTGAAGAACTTATACTTTTTTAGCCGATTTCAAATAAAAGAAGGTCGGAATTCGTCTGTATTTTTAATTTCCACGTCCAGTTCTGTATTCTACTGTTATTTGCATCGTTTATGCAATAATATAGAACAACTTAGGCTTAGATCATCATCATCATCAACCTGCCCTTATCCCTATCGAGGGTCGGCACAGTATGTACTACTCCTCCATACATCTCTATCAGCCGTCATATCGAAATCTAGCCCCTTCTTACGCATATCCTCTTTCACACAGTCATTCCATACTTTACTTAGGCTTAGATCATCATTGTATACAATTTGTTCTATACAGTTTAACTAAATTCTGAACTATAATATGATAATTGAATATTTTTTCCATATTATTACTTCTCATCTTCCTTTGATTTAAATAACAAAGAATTGAGAAAGGAATAAGTTACATCAAATAAAAAAAATACGTTGAATTACAACTTTGTTACGTAGCTTTGGATGTATAGAGATGCTATAATGATTTTCAATTTAACGTAACTTAACAAGTTTTAAATGATATCAAGAAACAATGAAATCTTTGATTCTCACTTTAAAATCTTCAATTATGTCTAATATACTTTAAGAGTATAGTAAACTCTACCTATTTAATTTACTATGCATTTAATTCTTATCGTTTTTTAAATACCAATAAAATTAAAAATCACGACCACTTAGCACAATACAAATTAACTCTTTCAAG